ATAAGCTCCTGCGCACCGAGACACCGTTGCCCCCCCCCCCCCCACCGCGAAGAGAAGTACGAGGAGGCATACGCTGCTTGTCGGAAGTAGAAGACGCGGAAAATGACGAGATTGACGAGATTGAAGATTACTATGTACTGGATGAGCCGCAGGTAATCTTGTCCAGCGACGAAAAGGACCCCGATACCAGCGACTCTGACGCTAGCGACGAAGATATGTTTGATGACAGTGATGAAGAGGATCCCGCCGATACAGGCGATGAGGAACTGGACGTCAGCGACAAGGGCAAGTCAAGCGTGCGAGAAGAAGAAACACGAGAGGAAGCCGAGTAACAGCACACATCCAAACAAGTCACAGGCTTATCGATGAAATCTGAACATATGTTTCTACACTCCCTATCTCCCAGCCTGTGTCCCGGGGCGCAGCAAATCCCATTTTCAGGAACAAAGCCTCAATACATAATCATAGCGCCGAGAACCTCGAAATGATGTGTAACTGCAAATCAGGAATCCAATCGGGGAGGGACGAAGAAATGCCCTCTGAACGACACTTTTTGGTAGTCTGTTCCTCGTACTCTGTTTCTCCCAACAGGGTACTACTCCTTTCACTCAATAGTCAATACTGCCTATGAAGCGTTTGAGCGAGTGGTGCGCTTGTTGATCTCAGCCTGGGCCTTCTCAGATCCAGTAGCGACGGCCTCGGCGGCCTTGTCCTTGGCGTCAACAGCGGTCTTCTTGGCCTTGTTTGCCTGGGCCTTGACTTGCTCCTTGGAAGGAGCGGCACCGGAGCCGAGAAGAACGGACGCAAGGATAGCGAAGATGGTGACAGCGATAACACCAATACCACCAGCGACCTCAGGGACGAACTTGGCAGCCTCAACGGGGTCGCGCTTGGCGATCTCGAGGAAGAGGGCCACCTTCTCCTTGACGTAAAGGACTGGGTCATCCTTGAAGACGAGGTCAGAGGGCGACTTGGGTGTGTCCTTGGGCTTAGGCTTGTTGGCCTCCTCATCAGCCTTCTCAGCGGGGTGCTTGAGATCGAAGGTCTCGGCCTTGAGCTTCTCAGCGTCGTCGATGGAGTGGCCAATGTAGATGTTGTCGAAGAGAATGTCCTTCTGCATGGTCCAGATTTCGAAACCAATCTACGGCATGTTAGCAAAGAGTCTGTGAAATCAAGATAGAGTCAACTTACAGCACCGATGGGCTCAAAGTTGGCAGGGGTCTTGTCCTCGAAGTAGTCAGGGTTGGCGATCTTCTTGGGGGCCCAGACGCCCTTGTAAGCCGGGTTGTCGATGAAAGGAGCGGTCCACTTGCCCTTGTAGGCAGGGTTCTTCTTCATAGGAGGCTCCCACTTGCCGCAGCCAGAGACCTCGTCACACTTGGGGTTGGGAACGGTGGGAGGAACCCAGTCACCGTCCTCCTCGTCATCCCAGTCTTCGGGCTTCTCAGCCTCGGGGTCGGGGATGGTGGTGGGCTCATCCTCAAGCCAGTCTTCAGGCTTGGTGGCCTCCTCGTCGACAATCTCGAACGGGGCGTCCTCATCCCAGTCCTCGGGCTTGGTAGCCTCAGGGTCAGCGATGCGGGCCTCGTCAACCCAGTCTTCAGGCTTTGTGTCGTTGGGGTCGTCAATCTCCTCAGCGGGGTTGACGGAGGGGGTGAAGTCCTCCAGGAGGGTTCCGTTGCGAACGGACTCGCCGTCGATCTTCATCTCGAAGCTCTGGTCAGGCTTGACGATGAGGGTGTAGAGGCTGGTGGTCTTGACGATACGAGCCATGGGAGGGTTCTTGAGGTGCTTCTCCTCGTACTCGCCGGTCTTGGGGTTCTTGTGACGGAAGATGAAGTGAACCTAGAAATGTCAGCTTAGTTGGCTATATTGAGAGAAGTGTCGTACCTTGTTGGTAGCACCGCACTTGTCGGGTCCGAACATGATGATGTAGGGAGAAGCGTTGGAGAACTCCTCAGCGTGGAGGGCTGCGTTGTCCTGAAGGAGCTTCATGTACGCACCACCGCACTCGAGGCCATCTGTCCGTTGTTAGAATAACGTGATATCCCAAATTTGGCTGGAAAACCTACCCTGAAGCTTGACTTCGTACTGAACAACAAGGGTGTCATCCTTGTTGTCAATGGCCTTGGGGAACTTGGCAGAGATGGCATGGTGAGCCGCCTTGTCCTTGATAACCAGTCCCTTGTCACCCTCCATACCCTTCAGTACGGAAGGCTCCTCAACGGACCAAGTGCCAACGTATGCCCATTCCTCGTCATCAGCCTTGACGTCCTTCTTCGCGTGTGAGGGGTTCCATCGGGACTCCCAGTCGTCGGTGAACTGCTCGAGGAAAGGTGCCTTGAGTTTTGTGGGCTATACGAATGTTAGAGAGAGCCTCGGCTACGTGACTGATTCAGAGACGTACAGTAAAGGTTGGCTTTGCGACCGTGGTCGAGGAAGAAGACGCTGACTCGGAAGAGCTGGCGTCGTCTGCGCGCACAACGGCGGCAGCGAGCGCAACGGTGGCGCCAATTGCAAAACGCATTGTGCTTGCCTTGGTTGAGGGTTGAGGTGGAGGAGAAGAGTTCACGGATTCAACGTTGGGGCAAGGTGACAGTTAAATGCCCAGTACACAGAAAGGCCACCTTAGTGAAATGTGGCAGGAAGCGGGCCCTTGGAGCTCCCCACTAGCGCCGCGACCCATGCACGGTTATGCTCCAGGGTTATGGATGCTTCTCGAATTACTTTCACGCCAGCTGGCCAGATCTGATACACTTTCACTTAAGACTTCATTGCATGCAATTACTATCAAGTGGTCAAGAAGTGCTAGTAATCCAGGTACCTTCCCAGGTGCTCGCTCACAGTCGCTCATTCCAGGATTCTGTGTCCGCGGCGCTAGTGCAGACCTCGGGAAGAACAAACGTGTTCTCCACACGTCAACCCCGAATCCAAAAGTCCCAAGATAAGGAATACAGTTCAGGCTGCTTTTCAAATCTTAAAGAGATACTTCAAACAGGCCACGTTGTGCACAACAAACTCGCATCGATCACGCTCGTGCGCTGTGCGACCAACACAACACACTGCATCACCCAGTAGTACTGTCATTGAACGTATGTGGTATCGATTGTAGGTGAGCTATATCCATAGTCACACCAATGCATGCAGCCAACGGCGCTTCAGTGTAGGTATTCCCAAAACTCCGCCGCCTAGCCAGGTCGTAAGATGTGGTCTGCGTATGTATGCTACCTGTTCCCAAGTCCATCCCGCAAGTAGTACAAAGCCGCGAACGCCATACGCTAAAGTCAAAGTTCTAATTACTCCATGCCGCATTCCATATGACATGGCCTATGTCTCGTGCAGTATTTACGGTGTCAACAACTCTGCCGATGAGAGTGGGTGGTAAAGGCTCTTCTTCGTCGCCTTCAAATGGCATGAACATGCCGGATGGTGTTCTTCGTAGTGCGCCGCTTTCCAGTGAGGCTGACGACCCACTCCGGCGCAATGAGTACGGATCCGAAGCAGTGGGAGTGCCGGCCCTTTTTGAGCCGTAAGCGCTAGAGGGCTTGAGGAACTCCTCACTCTCTTCGTCGTCTTCTTCCAGCAGGAAATTTCGTGATGGATTTGACGGCTTCAGGGTCTCGGAGGACGGCGACGGAGAGAGCCCGCTGCGCGACTTCCACATGGCGAGGGAGTGATGTTGCTGCGTCTCGGGAACGTCGGGAGAGTCTGTCCGGTACTTGAGCGTCGTCGATGGAAGCTTAGCAATGGTCTTGTTGTCCGTGCTGATGCTGACGGACGAGGCAGTCCGTGAAAGAGGCTTCTTCCGGCGCGACCGCTTCATCATGACGACGCCCTCGTCCGACGAGGAATCCGCTTCCTGGTACTTGGCCCAGGGGTTGTGGTTGCAGTCATCCTCCTCATCGTCGGCGTCTTTGCACTCGACGGCGATACATTGCTCGACCTTGTCGTCGAAGCGGATGTGCCGCTTCTCCCCGTGGTCGGGAGTGTGCAGTCCGGAGGTGGACTTTGAGGAGAAGTAGTCCGTGCCTTCCCAAAGCAGGCCTCGGGACAATGTGGAAGATGTGGGGAAGTCGGGGGTTACACGGCCGATGATTGGTCGGGGCCGTCGCAACTCCAGCGTCACACCGGTTGTTTGCTGGGCCTGCACCGACTCGGCCGCTTGCTGCAGCAGTGACGACGACGACAGAGACTTTTGCAGCATGGCCTCGGACATGCTGCGCTTCTTGAGGATTGGCTTCTTGACGCCATTGACGAAGGAGTTCGTCTTGGACAGGCGGCTGGCTGGCTCCGAATTCTGCTGCGAGCAGAAGCGATTTGAGGCCGGCTGCATGGGCCCGTACAGCCAGGTCACGTCAACGTCTTTGAGCCTGGTGATTCGTTAGCAGTGCCCAAGAGTTAAAAATCTGCAAGATGGTGCACGGATGGGGGTGATCGACACCCCTGCCGTGGCTGCAGATCGAAATATTCGGGACTCACCAATTCAATGTCTCGGGCGAGATGGTCTTGAGCTTAAACTGGGCCTTGGCCCACGTTCGCCACGAGGCATTTTCGAGCCTGGAGCGCTCGCCGTAGACGCTGCGGTGCTCGACGATGTGCCGCCACGACGACCAGATGTCCTCCTCGCGCCACTCGTACGAGAGGTAGTCGACGTGGTGTGAGGGCTCCTTGCGCACGGCCGTGTCGTCTTCGGACATGGGCATGGGGTCTGGCGTGGTCATGGGAGTATCGGAGGAGAAGCCTTCGGTCGGCGACGGTGAAGGCAGCGAGCCCGGGCGCATGGCGGAGGATGCAGGCTTCAACGAGGCCATGTCGATGGGCGTGACGCCGTGACTGATGCCCTTGCCCTTTGCAACACCCTTTCCCTTTCTGTACTGCCGCGCCGAGGTGTAATTGGGAAACGCCAGGCCATCGTCTTCGCTGCTCGACTCGTCTGACTTGGGATCGAGCGAGACGCTGCTGGAGGGCGTCGAGTGCATGGACGAGGTGCGTGAGGAGCCGCTCAGCGACGGCGAGCGCAGGTCGGGCAGCGAGTACTGGTTCTTGCGGATGGGCGTGTAGGTGTCGTAGGCGAGGGAGGCGGACGAGGGCGAGCGCTGGAAGGGCGGGTTGTCTCGCGGGAGCGACAGCATGGCCGTCATACCGGGCGGGTGCGGGTCAATGCCTCAATATCTATCACAGCGTGGGCCCGGCGGCGGCGAGGGAAAATCTCAGATTGTTCGGCGTAGACATGCGGTCGTGACTTGGTATGTATGGGCGTGCGGGGACGGAGGTGCAGTGGAGCGTGGCCAGGAATCGGGCTGACAACGCAACGGCGGATGTAGAGGCAGCT